AGTGTAGATAGTTCAACACCCTTTAGATAGATAACAAGCGTGGATCCCGTCGAGTACGACGAACATGATGGGTGCTCATACCTTCCCCTTGCGTAACCGACTCCCGAACCCAAGATTTGGTTGCGATGACCTGTCTTCTCCCGTTTTCGTTAGGTTTTCTCTGATAATTTCCTTTCCCTATCTTTGGGATAAATAACGAACGATGGCGACTCTTCTGTCCTTGTTGGCCCCTCTTCGCAGCGATGCGACAGCGTGTTGCGCGGACTTGGCGAATAAGCAGGAAAGTGATGTGAGCATCCCGTTGAGGGACTGTATCGATTTCTTCGATCTCGGCGTTACGATCTCGGAAAAAGCCCGACACTTGTCCGGGTTTGCTTCGATCCCACGCTCGGTAAGGTAGAACCCGAGGAACTTCCCCGTGCGCACCTCGAAGGTACACTTTTCTGGATTGAAACGCATCCGGCATTTCCTCGCTGTCTCAAAGACCTTTTTGAGATGTGTCGTGTGGTCGACATCCATGCAGGACTTGACGATCATGTCGTCCATGTAGACCTCGATCATGTTGCCGATCTCTCCTCGGAAAACCTTGTTCATCATCCGCTGGTAGGTGGCGTCAGCGTTTTTTAGGCCGAAGGGCATTACGTTGTAGTAGTAATTGCCCGACTCGGTCATGAAAGCCATGCTCTGTTTGTCTGCCTCGGCCATGGGTATCTGGTTGTACCCCGAGTATGCGTCTATGAAGGACAGGAGTTTGAAGCCCGCCGAGTTGTCGACGAGCTTGTCGATGTTGGGAAAGGGGTAGGCGTCCTTGGGACATGCCTGGTTAAGATCCGTGTAGTCAACACGCATCCTCTATTTTCCATTATTTTTCTTAATGAGTACAACGTTGGACAGCCAGGTTGAATACCAGGCTTCCGAAATAAAATTTGCCTCTAGGAGGTCTTTTACAGCTTTTTCAGCCGTCGCCGACTTTTCGGGGGACTGCCTAGGCATACGTTGAACTACGGCCCTAGCGGCCGGGTTCACGGAGAGCTGGTGGCAGGCGACCTCGGAATCGAGTCTGGGCATCTCCGCAGCGCTCCAGGCGAAGAGATCGACATTCTCGCGGAGGCAGGACTCTAGTTGTTTCCTTATAGGTCGGGCAGCCCTGCCCCAATCTTCACGGTCTTCGTTGTGTATGCCTTGAGGGTCACGAGCTCGAAGTCCCCGTCTGGAATAGAGCGCGTTGGGTGGGAAGGCTTCCCGTTAGTTTCGCCGAATTTGTCCACGTGGTTAGGTTCTTCGGTGAAACGACAGTCAAGGTCCACAGCGTCGACGTGATCCTTCGGTTTGACCTCTTGGGCAGGAGGTGGCTTGGTTGCTTTGGTCGGGGGGCGATTGTACTGAGACCCTTCATCACTACGTCGAAGCATTGTCGAGCGGCTTCGATATCCCCGTTGAGGGTGACAATGGCTCCAAGTCTGGTGTAGTATTTCATCTTTAGGTGGACGGTCGATGGTACTGCGGTGAGTTCAGCCATCGTCGTTCTGCCAAGGATGCAGTTATATAGAGATGGGCACTCGACGACCAGAAAACAGACGTTGATTTATCTGGTCGTTTCCTTCTCCTCGAAGGTGACCTTAAGCTCGACGTACCCCCATGGTCTCGTCGTTGTCCCGTTGAAGTCTTGGAGATCAGAGCCTAGATAGGGGGACATGTTGGATTCGTCGAGTTAAAGCGTCACGAAGAGGTGGGTGTACATGATGTCCACCGAGCTCCCTCCGTCGACCAGGATGCGTCTAACGTCAAAGTTCGCCATCTGCACTCGTATTAGTAGGGGGTGTTAGAGTTGGGGGCCCCTCCGGGGAGCTCCTCGAGGTAGAATGTGATCGGGTTGGACCGACCTCGAAATCTGTCGAGCGTGCTCATCTTGTCGGAGCTATTGCTGATAAGCTTGTCGAACTTCCGCTTAATTGACCCCACCGATAGCTTACTCGGGTTCCCCCTTGAGATGACCATTGCCCTCGGGAAATACTCCCACCGGCTGGTGGGACGCACTGGCTCCTCAGGTAGCTCAAGTTCGGCAGGAAGGATGAACTCCCTGAGGGCGAACCAGTCCTCAGGTCGGCTAACGCTGAAGGCAACCTGTAGGCCAGACTCGCCCTCCGGAGGAGGGAGGTCCTAAAATCTTTTAGCCTCGGGGGCCTCCTGCCGCGGGGGCTCTCCTCCTCGGGTGTATCTTTTAAGATGCCCGTCCTTGATTAGAATCTCGATTGCGTCCTTTAGGTGGATGCAATCCTCTGTTACGTGACCGTGGCTTCGGTGGAAGCGACAGTATTTCGACTTGTCCACGTTGGCTTTGGTGGGTGCCAGTTTTGGAAAACGGACACCTCCCTAGAAAAACTCCATTTTGGCGCACTCAGCCAGTATGCGCTCGTGGGAAGCGACCAGTGTGGTGTACTCCGTGAATCGACTGGCTGAGCCACGCTGCTCGCGGGTTTCTCGTGGGCGGTCATCTCGCCGTCGGTCTCCCCCGCGCCGGTGGCTCGAGGCTCTGTCGTCTCGGGATCTGCAGGGGGTCTCTCTGTCCCTGGTGTCACGGGCTGAGTTAGCGGCATGTGTTTCTTCGAACCGAATATAATGGCGAGCGCGGTCGAGAAAATCTTGGAGGGGGTCTGGCCGATGGATGGCCACGACCTCGTAGAATTTGGAGTCCCGGCGCAGACCTTGCTCCATTAGGTAACACTTCATCTCGTCTGAAGTCGTCACCTGCATTGCCTTCCTTGTGAACCTCTCGATGTAGTTCCTGAGGGGTTCGTGGGGTCCTGGATGATCGCGCCTAGCGCGGCTTCTGTCTTCGGGTGGCGTCTGGACGCCGTGAAGTGTCGTGGAAAGAGGTCCTTCAGGACCCTCCACGACGTGACAGACTCCGGCTCTAAGCTCTTGTACCATGTCATGGCGCCTTTCCGCAGGGTCGTCGGGAAGAGACTGCATTTGATGGCTCCTCGGACGTTGCGGTAATCGAGCATAGCCTCGATATCTTCCAGGTGATCGTCCGGGTCCGAGGTACCGTCGTACGTCGAGAGCACATGTCGTTTTTCCATCCCATGGGGGATGGGAGTTGCCATGATCTCCCTGGACAAGGGGGTCCTGTAGTCGTCCTCGTTGCTGAGAATCAGGGACGGAGGAGGCGAAGGCCCGTGACGAGGAGGGGGTTGATTTCGTACCCTGGGTTGCCTAACCGGGGGTTCCGCCCCCGTCGTCCCTGGCTCCTGAACTCGTCTCTCTTTCCTGGTCGGCGACCTTGCCCGCTTCTTGGAGACAACGGGTTGGGGTCTCTCCAGCTATGGTCGGCGACCTCATGGACGAGGTGATGGACTCCTCGAGTTCCCGTACTGCTCTTCCCGCGGAGGGGAGCGGGATGGGCCCTCGAGCGCGCCGATGCGCTGATTCTGCTGGAACAACATCTGATTCGTCTGGTTGATGGTCGCAAAGAGGGCGGCCATCATCGGGTCCGCGCCAGCCGGAGTGGGGATGGGCTGGAACACTGTCGGGCTTCTTGCCCGAGGAACCTCGTGGTGCGGTGTGCCCTCGGGGGAAGGGGAGACAGTCTGGTCGTCCCTGACGTCGGTCTCACAGAGTAGAGAAGTCTCTATGTGACCGTCACCGTTGGCGGTGGGGACGATAGAGGAGTTGTGAACAGCGTCATCGTGGCGTGGGCTAGTCATGACTCTGAAGTGTTGAGAGGTGAAACTTTGGTTCTATGCTCGGAGGAACGGGAAGTTTAGCTTCCCACAGACGGCGCCACTAATCTGACCTAATCAGAAGGGATTACTGGACCTTCACACGTCTTTGATCTACTGCATGTTCACTGGTGGTAAGGAGGAGGGGGTGTACCTGCAAGACACTCCGATGCAAAAATGAGAGAGGACCAGAGTGAAGCAAATACAGAGAGAAGGTTTAGAATAGAATTGAATACCTGATCCTCTAGTGAAAGAGGGTATTTATAGTGAGACCCCAGCGCAGGGCCAACAGTCACTTGTGTTGGGATGGATTGTCAGGCCCAACCCAAGTGACTACTAGGGCTTACATGGCGTAGTGAAGACCAGCACGTGGTCTTCGCCCTAGTTCAACCGTCTCGTGATCTCCGAAAGGTGGGTTGACCAACTCTCGCAGAGGTGGGTGGTTGGATGAGGACGTGTCCCCGCGAAGGGGAACACTTGGAGAACGCGTGGAGGACATGTTGTTCTGCTCGAAGGAGGGAAGGTTCTGCCCGCGGAGGGTAGCGTCTGCTCGACGGAGAATTCTTGTACTCGACGTACGTGATATGGACCGACTTGGGCTGGGCCTGCCCGGTTAAGCCGGGTTCAGTCCATAACATATATATATATATATATATATATATATATATATATATATATATATATATATATATATATATATATATATATATAAAAGAAAAAATAGCGTATTTAAAAAAAGAAAAAGAAAATATTAGTGCTACAGATCAAATTGATAATAATTAAATTTTGTTAGGTTAAATGTTCAACCGAGGATAAAAATGACGTATAGAAATAGAAAATATTATTGTTGCATATCAAATCGATAATAATTAATATTTTTTAGGTGAAATGTTGAACCGAGATAAAAGTGATGCACTTTCTCTGATATACACTTTTGTACCTTGCCCAACTAAACGAGACAAAAACACTTTTTTTATCAAAGGAAAACCACTTCTCTTTAATAGTGTATATAAACTTAATTTAAGAAAGAATTGACCATTAACCACGACAATTTGAATTAAGCTTAAAATAATTGTTCAATAGAAAACGGTCTTAGAAATGTTGAATTAGCTATAGTAATTTTAGATAACATTCGTCTAAGACATAGCTAAGAATACTCTTCCTCTTGTATTACCAAATTGTAACAAAGGAAGGGAAATTCCTGCCACTAGGATATTAGACCAAAAAAATAGTGCAATCTAGAATTCAATATGTAGTTTTATTTCATGATTTTCTTTTTCAATGAATGAATAAGGTCTTGATTTTGATTAATGATGCAGTTACATAAATCATATTAATCCGCGTCTCAGGCGAGTCTTCACAACATCTCAATGCTAAAGCCAAAATAGACGACACATGAGCTAAAAATTCATGAATTTCTTTATCATGTTGAGAGACTAAATTGAAATCCACAACTTCCATGACTGAACTGACCATTGATTCACTAATCCAATTTTTCAATGTTAATTCTCCTGCAAACATTTCATTTGTTGGCTTCTTTGCTGTGAAGATTTCCATTAGCATTATTCCATAGCTATACACATCTCCTTTAACTGAAATGACTCCCTTAGAACCATACTCTACATGTCAACATTAAAAGGGTCTTATAAAATATTTGTCAAAAAGGTCACATAAAATATTTGTCACGTGGGAAAATAGCTCTTATTTGTTTTTTCACAGTTAGACCGTGACTAACTTACACAGGACTTTTGAAAACTTAAACAAACCCGACTGAGTTTAAATTATTATCATCAACTTATGAGTTAGAAGAGAGTAATTACCTGGTGCAACATAGCCAAGAGTGGCTAGTGTCCCTGTATGAGTTTTAGAATGTCCTTCATCCAAGAGTTTAGAAATGCCAAAATCACTCACATGTGCCACCATATTTTTATCTAGTAACACATTACTAGGCTTCAGATCACAATGAACCACTGGTATTGAAGAACCATGGTGGAGATACTCCAATGCAGATGCAACATCTATCATTATATTCAACCTTTGCAAGAAATCCAAAAAATAGTTTTCTGAGTATAACCATTTTTCCAAACTCCCATTTGACATAAACTCCATCACCAAAGATTTGAAATTGACATTTGAACAACTAGTAATAATCTCAACAAGATTACGATGCCGAAGATTGCGCATTGCCTTGCATTCCGCGTCAAAACTTCTTGATGCAACTTCCAATTTCAAGTCAAGTACTTTAATTGCTACCATCTTCCCACTAGAAAGCATTCCTTGATACACAGATCCAAAACCACCCTTTCCAAGCAAGTTACTCTCATTGAATCCATGAGTTGCTTGCACAAGTTCATTATAGGAGATCCTTTTTGAAACCCCTAAATTTGTTGATAAATCTCTTTCAAGTGGATTTTCAACTTTTTTCCTTTTAAACATTTGAACTATTATGCATGCAATAGCCACAAGGCCTAACACAACAATTATGGATGATATACATATGATTAATATCATCTTTTTCATTGACTTTTTCCTAATTTGTTTATCACATGGAGGTACTTGAAAGTGAGGACTACCACAAAGTGCTTTGTTACTCATGAAAGATTGAGATGTAAATTTCTTGAAAGGTCCTCCATTAGGAATCTCTCCTTGCAATCTATTGTTTGAAACATTCATGTATTTAAGATAAATAAGTGACTCCAAAGATTTCGGGATCATACCGGTTAGAAGATTTTGAGAAAAGTCCAAGAAGCTCAAACTTACCATTTCACCAAGTGATTTTGGGATAAGTCCTTCCAATTTGTTATTTGCTAAGGAGAGAGTTTCTAAAGTTGTCAAAAAACTTATGGTTGTTGGAATGTTATTTGAAATTTGATTTCCTGACAAATCTAATAGCACAAGAGCTCTCAAATTCTTAATCTCAAATGGAAGATTTCCAATTAAAGCATTAGAGGACAAGTTTACCTCTAAAATATCTTTGAGATTCCAAAAGGAGGAAGGTATTGTAGAGTTTAACCTGTTAGATCCAATGTGAATCTTTCTAAGAGAAGTCATATTTCCCAAACATGTTGGTAACACTCCGAAAAACTTGTTACTTGTTAAATTCAACTCACTCAAACTCCTAATTTCACAAAGCTCATCAATTATAGATCCTTGAAGTTTATTGTAGTCAAGGCCTAAAGATTGAAGCTTCTGCAACTCTTTAATTGTACTAGGGATTTGTCCGTTTAAATCATTCCTACTCAGAGATAATCGAACCAAGTTGCTCATGTTTCCGATTTCTAATGGAATGTTTCCTTTAATTCCACAAGAATTTGCCCAAAAGTGTTCTAGAGATAAGTTTCCAATAGACTTGGGAAGTTTTAATGGCAAACTATTCTCTGAAATTTCAAGATGTTTCAAATATCTGCAACTTGTCAGTGAAGTTAGGAAGTTGAATTCAAGAGACTCATCTATTGTCAAATTATTGCCACCTATGACAAGTGATTCAAGGTCTCTTAAATTTCCAAATGAGTTCGGTATAACTCCGCTAAATTCATTCGAACTCAAGTCAATTATGACAAGATTTGAAGCATTGGAAATAGTATTTGGAATATTTCCAACAAACCTGTTTCCATACATGTGTAGTTGTTGTAGGTTTGGAAGGCCTAATCCGATATTCGATGGAAGCATGCCCGAGAGAGAATTTAGTTCAAGATGAAGATTTTGCAATGTTGAAATATTGAAGACATTTGAAGGAACATGTCCCCTCAAACTGTTATTTCCCAATTGAAGAAACTGAAGTTGATTGAGATTGCCAATCTCCATCGGTATCGAACCTAAAATCACAAATCATGGAGAAAAAAAAACTAAATCACATGTATGAGATGAAACATGACAGTATAGCAAATAAAGATGCATGAAAGTATACCTGAAAAAAAGTTATCCTGTAAAGTTAATATTTGTAAGAATGTACAATTGCCGATCGATCCTGGAATGGTTCCTTCCAAATGATTACCGAATAGAGTAAACTTTTCAAGTTGAGGAAGTTGAAGACACATCTCGCCCGGAAGAGTTCCATTTAAATGGTTTCCATCAAGGTTGATCTCTATCAAAGAAGAGATGTTGAAGAGGGAGACTGGAATTTCACCTGTATATGCAACATAAATTATTATTCAATAAACACTAAATAAATAATCACTTATTGTAATTGGAAAATTATCTTACCCTCCAAGTTGGTGCTAGTAAGATACAAAGATTGAAGCTTTGTCAAGCTTCCAATGTCAGCTGGCAAAGGACCTTTGTCAAAATTATTGAAAGATAGCTCCAAATCTTCCAATTCTTTGCAATTACGCCATACATTTGGCATCTTACCAGAAAAATCATTAGCATAAAGATAGAGTAATCTAAGATTTGGAAGTCCTTGACAAACATTTGATGGAAGAATTCCAGAGAGATTATTAAAACCAAGACCCAACCTTTGCAAAGATGAGTTGTTCAACATCAATATGTTGCCAGTGAGGAGATTATATTGAAGATTCAATGTTATGAGTTGTGTAAGATCACCAATTCCTTTTGGAATTTCTCCTTTAGTTCAACATAGAGTAAACACATTTAGTATGCAAAAATATAATCAAATTCAATATAATGGTGTGAGTATATAATACCTGATAGAGAATTATTTGATAGACGAATTTCTTGAAGTGAAGACATGTTGAAAATTGTTGATGGTATGGTTCCAGAGAGTTTGTTATTTTTAACATCCAAAATTCTCAACATATGAAGTTTACCAATAACAAGTGGAATAGTTCCTTCAATGAAATTTGATTTCAAACTTAGATACTCCAACATTGACAAATTGGATATAGATTGAGGAATAATTCCAACAATTTTATTATATCCAATATCCAAATATTGAAGTTTTGATAACTCCCCTATCCTTGAAGGAATTTCTCCAACAAAATCATTGTAACTCAAATCAAGCCACTTCAATCTCTTCAAATGAAGTAACTCTTGTGGTAACTCACCATTGAAACTATTGGCTTGTAGATCAAGAACAAGAAGGAAAGAGAGATTTCCCAATTGAGGTGAAATGGAACCTTGAAGGCCCATGTTACTAAGATTCAATGCATTTACTCTTCCATGATGTTCATCACAAGTAACACCAACCCAATTGCATGAACTGAAAGAAGAAGAATTAGAGGATATTGACCAATTACTAAGTACATGATAAGGGTCTAAAGTAATAGATGATTTGAATGAAAGAAGTGCAAGTTCATCAGTGGTGATGTTTTTTTTAGTACTCGAAACTAAGCAAGGGAAGAAGTAAAAATAGAGTGAGAAAGAGAGAATAGAGAGGCAATTAGAGTATAGTTTGGCCATTGTTGAATATAATATATTTATGAGTCTAAGCAGTGATGAGGATATATAATATTATAATAACATACAGGCTTACTTTTTTTTCTTCACAAATGAAGAGTGAAGAGTGAAGAGAGTTTGAGTTTTTGACCATTTGTAATGTGAACAATTGATTCTCTGCCAGCAAGTTGACTCATTGACCTATTTATTTTCAATTAAAATTAAAAAAATAACGACTTAAATCTTTCACATGCTATGAGAGGACAAAACAAGTTTGCAAAAAAGAGGGAGACACGAATTCAAGTCCAAGTGTACACATTTGAACCCGAACCAATTATGTAGTGTAAGAAGAAGATTTCAATTTGGATTTTGAAAGCTTTCTCGCATTCACATTTGTTCTTGCTGTAACTTGAGATCTTGTTATCTCATTCACATCTTATTGCCGTGTCAAGATCTAATTCGGCTTCTATTATGAAGAAAATTGGGCTTGATTTATGGAGATTTATTTTGGTTAGCATTATGTCATTTCTCTACTATCTTTTATTTGAGTGTATGTTTTTCACTCTTTCTATCACATCAAATAAACATAAACATGTGACAAGTTGTTAACGTTTTCAAATAACATCATCATCTTAATTTGTTCTTTCTTAGGCTATCTTTACTTAGTACTTTCCTTTGATTCATACTGGTGTGAACACTTGACTTGGTTTTCTTCTGCAAAGGAAGTTAGGCCCATTCTTATTCCAAAAATAGAATAAAGTTGCATTGTTTTTATGTTGATACTTTTGTAATTTTAAATAGGGTAAAATATACAATACCTCCGACGTCGCTTTTGTAGAATTTTTTTTATTTCTCCTAATAATGTGAAGATTCTTTATAGATTTAAATGCATTTTTAGTCCATGTAAGTTTTTGAGTTTAGTCCCTATAATTTTTTTTTTGATATGAGTCTCTGTAAATATACTTTTGACTTTAAAAACTAAACCATAAACAAAAAGTGAGATATAGAGATTCAGACAAAAATAAATAAAATTACAGAAACCAAATTCAAAAACTCGCTAACTCCAAGAACCAACAAACTATTTAAGTCTTCTTTATATATAGCTCTTGAGCGCACTATTTCCTGACATGACATATGCAGGTGTCATTTAATTTATTTTTTTATTATTTTTTAAAAATCCCCGATAACAAATAGTTATAAACTATAATAAAAAATTTTACGTGGTATTTTTTTTAATTTTTTATTACGAGGGGATAAATCAAAAGTCGCTCACGTTACAAGGACAAAATATAATTTTGTTGTTTTGGATAATAAAACATTAAAAAAATTACAGGGATAAAATATAGTTTTGTTGTTTTAGATAATAAAACATTGAAAAAATTCTAATTTTTGTTACTAATAAGGTTCTAACTCAATACCTAAGTTTAGTGGATAAGATTCTTATTCGTTGGGTTAATATTCTTTTTATTTATAATATTTACATGTTGAATATATATTACAACATGAACTAAGGATTTGAATTAATATTGAAACTTGAAATTGTAGTAGTAGCTAGCAACTATACCATATACATAACCAATATTTAAAATGAATTTAAGTTTGTTTATTTTATTTTTAAGTGTACAACACTATAACACAAGTGATGATATCATGGTTTTGCTAATATTTTTTATTTTTCATTGATGCAACGTCAACATTAATTAACAACTGATAATAAATTACATAACTTAAACATAACTTAAGAAAAAACTTAACACTACCAGATGATTAATAAATAAATAAAAATTTAAACACTACCAGATGATTCTGAATGTTTCAGCATCTCCATTATGTGGTCAGCAGATCTTAAAAGTTTAGTATCTAACTCGATGAATCCATTTGTTATCCTACGGCGAAACGATCTCTACATTTCATTCACATTTTCGTCGGTCTTCAACTCAATAAGGTTATATTTCACCCTCCCATTAGTATCACTCAAATCTTCACGAAACTCGATCTTTCTCACCTTTTTGTTTTCAGTATCCGGCAACAATTTATTTAAATTAGACATCAGACCGACAAGAGATGTGGTGCTATCCGAAAGCCAGAACTCTACAGGAGAAAAAGCTTCGTTGAACTACACTTCTGTTTTAATAAAAAATTGAAAAAAATACATTTTTTGAGATGTATTTATCAAACAACATGTAATCCTCTATTTATACAACTTTATATTTACTCTGAACCACACAAAATTGTTGGTGCAATCACAGCCATCTAAAAATGCCGACAACATCCTGAACGTCCAAAAAAAACCAATATAAATTAATAATTTAATTTAAAAGAATTTAATGATTTTTAAAATAAAAATAAAAATAAATAAATTAAAAAAAATCTAATATCAATGCAAATGTTAAATTAATATTTTAAGAATATTTTTAAAATAAAAGCGCTTTGAAAAATATAATTTGATAGTCTTGTAAATATTCTTCCATTATTATTTCTTTTTCAAAATTAAGTTATTAATATTTACCAACATGACACAATCTAAATATTATATGTTAAATAGTGGTTTGAGTAAACTCATGTATAACTCATGTTACATGTAAAAGACATTATTAGTTGTCAAATTTCAACAAATACAAAAGATATTAACTAGATTTGTATGTAATATATATTTAACATGTAAATATCATAAATAGAATAAACATTAGCTCAATAGTTAAGAATCTCAACTGCTAAGTTTAGGTACTGAGTTTAAATTCTATTAGTAGCAAAAATTAAAATTTTTTAAATGTTTATTATCAAAAACAACAAAATTATATTTTACCAACATAAAATGAGCAACTTTTGACTTACCCCCTCATAATAATAATATTTTAAATATATATATATATATATATATATATATATATATATATATATATATATATATATATATATATATATATATATATATATATATATATATATATATATATATATATATATATATATATATATATATATATATATATATTTAAAAAAATAAAAAAATATGTCACATGGAATTTAAAAAAAAAACAGGTGGAATTTTTTATTATTATTTTTTACTATTTGTTGATGTGGGTTTTAAAAAATAATAAAAATTTGAATAAAATGATATATAGACATATCACGTCAGCAAATGCATCCATGAGGTATATATAAAGAATCTTCACATCATAAAGGGGGAATTAAAAAAAAAAAATTTTTAGAGGATGAAAACGAATTTCACTTGCATTACAAAGGTGTTTTTATATTTAACCCTTTTAAATACGACAATGCATATGTCCTTAACTACAAATTAATTACTTATTTTAATATAGAATTTAATTAATAGTTATATATAAGAATTATAATATTTTCTTACTTTTCAAAAGAGACGGAAAGGAATCTATCTTGTGATTCAATAGAAAGATTTGAAATCAATAATAATGATGCATTCAAACGGTTAACTCCTGGATTTTTGTAGTATTTTAAAACTTGAGGTAGTCAAAACACTTTATTAAATTTAAAATTTGCATGATTAGTATATGTTGTGAAGGTCCAAACATCCAGCCCAATAATGTAAAGCTCAAATAAATTTACTCATCATATATAATTGACACGCACGAGGCTTAAGGTATATTTTTCTGATCCCATAATTTTACTTTACTTATCTTAGACTCTGTAACTGACTTGAACATTATAATGCTAAACTTGTTGGTTCACCACCACGCTGTTGTGTTAGAGATAAATATCATTGTATCCAAAGTCCATCATCACTAATCACCATTCTGGTTCTAGTACGAAACACTAGTCAAGAGACATTTTTAGTCATGTAAAATTTATGTGAAATTTTCTAAAATAAAGAGCAAATAATATCTTAAAATGTTAATTCATGATAAGGACTATTGCGACGTGGAACAGAAAATTTGGTGAGGTGATGAGGAAGGACGCCATAAAAGTTTTTGGGTACAGGGACAAAAGTTTCCCGTGGGCGGAAAAATGGATGTATATGCAAGGTTAGCACTCCAACATCCAAGTCAATGAGATCAGAGAGGTGTATCTTGCAATAATGAATGAAATTGTACCTGGTTATGGCGTGTGATAATGTTATATACAAGTGACAATTAAAAACTCCCCATTGAACGTGGTGTAAAGTGTGGGACATTGTTGGATTGATTCCAACAGATGTGATGAGTACAACCCGAGTTGCAGTGTGTTGCCTCTTGGCGAGAATTTATATGTTTATCTTGTAAATTAAATGTTTTGTTGTGAAAATTCCCCACAAGGTCCTAGATGTCTAGGATAGGGTATGACGACACCACTATAACACTTAGGGGTGCTCAAGTGCCGTTATAAAATTGAGGTTAATCTTGGGTTGTTCATCGCACCTTCTGATGTTTTGTTGATTCCTGATCGTAGATTTATGCGCTCTTAGGGAGTGTTTGATATGGGGTAAATGGAGGGAAGGGGAGGGGAAAAGAGGGATTATTTAATAGTTTTTGTGTTTGGATCAAATTTTAAGAAGGGGAGGGGAGGTAGGTGGAGGAGACCAAAATCCCTCTTGACTCACTTTTTGCTTCCCCCGATTTGGGGGGATTTGGAGGGGAGGGGAGGTGTTTCACTTTAATCATAATTATATTTACATATTTACCCTTATTATCTATTTAAATAAAAAATTAACTTATTAAAATGTTAAATTTTATATTTTGAACAAATTTTATCTTCCTTTTATATTTCTTATACTTTTTATATATTCATCTTATTATTATTATTATTATTATTATTATTATTATTATTATTATTATTATTATTATTATTATTATTATTATTATTATTATTATTATTATTATTATATGTATTTAAATTCTTTTATTTTATTTATTATATTTTATTGTTACTTTTTAATTATTGTAATATTTTTGTTTATAATAATTTTTGTTAGATTTTATTTTATTTGATAATCTTCTTAAAATTATATATTATAATCGTTATAATTTTTATAAAAATTTTCAAGATGCCCTCTGATTGAATACTTTATA